GAGAGAGAGAGAGAGAGAGAGAGAGAGAGAGAGAGAGAGAGAGAGAGAGAGAGAGAGAGAGAGAGAATAGGACTGACCTGGAAGCCTACACGGTGCATTGAACATCATGCTTTGACAGAACATGTTTGCAACTTTGCACCCCAAACACAAAACAATGGGCTGTGTCCTAATTTGTTGTCCTGTACTTGTAATAAAAAAGAATTGGAAAAAAAAAAACACAATGAGCTCGCTCGTGCTTTCTTGTCCTGCCTTTGTAACTTTCTCCTGCCAGGCGCCAGCTTCTGCACCTGTACATACCTCGCCATCAGTGCTTGGCTCATATGACGTGCCCTCTGCAAGTGCAGAGGGAGAAAACAAGGAAAATAAAAGCCGACAGGAAGAAGGGAGCGAGAGGAAAGATGTAGGCAGTGACGACGATGAGCCACTGAGAAAGCTTAAGCGGAAATCGTCTTCACTAGGCATCAAAACAAGTGGACAGAAGAAGACTCTTGTCGTGAGTGTAGCAACGGCGAAACCTATGGTGAAGGGAAGTTTAATGAGCAATGCAGAAGCAGGGATGCCGAAAAGGACAAGAATGGATGTCGGACGTGACAGTGACGTGGATGAAGACGATTCATTGGAGAAGAAGAAGAAGAAGAAGAAGACTGTGCAGAGGGAGGATGAGGAATCACGGAACAGACAGCATGAAGATCCCAAGGTTGCGAAGAGGAAGAGGCTTGAAGTAAGCAGCAGAGGGAGAGAAGAAGGGGGAGGAGGAGAGAAAGAGGAAGGCCACGGGGTGTTGTCAGCAGCAGATAAGAGATTCGGAGCGGAGGTGAAAAAGGGGGTGACCTCCCAGGTAGGTGAGGGGAAGAATGGTGGAGGGAGGGGGGAACCAGGTCCAGGCCCTGTGATTGTACAGAAGAAACAGTTGGGCCTGGAATCTTTGAATAAGCAATTTGGCACCAAGTGTGCTGGATCTTCTCTGCAACACACTGAGAAGACGAAGTTGAACCCGAGTGTGAAAAAGGAGTCGTACTGCAGTGTGACTCACAATGCGGCTGTAGCCGTTCTGAGGTATGATGCAGAAAGCATGGTTTCTTCTGCAGTTGGTGGAATGTCGGTAGAGGTGGTGGTGAAGAGCGAGCCCTTTGAGGACTACGACTGGCACAGCATGGTTTCTGCAGCTGCTAGAATGGAACAAGAGGTGGCAGTGAAGGTGGAGCCTCATGCGGACGCGAACGAGGGGATAAAGGATGCAAGAGAGGAGGGTGCAAAAAAGAGGATAAAGGATGCAAGAGAGGACGGTGCAAAGCACGCAGAAAAGGGGATAAAGGATGAAACAGAGGGGGGTGGAAAGGGTGCGGAAAAGGGGGTTGCAAAGGGAGCCACCAAGGAAGCAGAAAGGGGATTGCAAAAGAGCAAAGGCGGTCAGAAGCCGGTGCATAAGGAGTGGGAAAGTGGAAGGGACAGGGAATGGACAAAAGAGATGAGGACAGGAGGAAAAAGGGATCCAGAAGAAATGGGGCTGAAAAAAGGGGAGGGGGAGGCTGGGAAGAATTTTGAGACAACGGCCGATGCCGATGTGATGGTGGAAAAAGATGAAGGAGATGAGGGAAATGAAAAAGAGGATGGAGCCAAGGGAGCAGAAAGCACAGAGGACCTCCAGAAAAAGGGGAAGTTGAAAGTTTTGTCGAGGCTCCCATTGGTGTTACCAGATAAACTCTCAAGACTGAAGGTAAGGTGCTGCAAAAAAAAAAAGAAAAAAAAAGGGGTAAGTACGTTTATGTCACCTTTGATCGAATGGGCAAAAAAAACACGCGTCGGCAAAGAAAACCGCACCGAGTTCAAAAAGGCAACGGAAGTACCGGCGGCCGTGGTGTCAGACCGGATGTCATATTTACAGGGGTCGGCCGTGGTGTCAGAGGGGAAAAGAACAAAAAAAAGAAAATGCCCAACGGATACTTTTGGACCGAAATCGCTCATTTTGAGTTGGCGCGTGGTTTCTTTGCCGGCGCGAGTTTTTTGCCTTTAGGGTTTCAAAACATGCCGCATCTGCCGTCATTTCTTAAAACAAAAAAAAAAAGACTTGTTTAGGGATATGAGCCTTCTAGAGAGTCTTTGGAAAGACAACCCGTGCAACTGAACCTGTGCCTACCATTTTCCACGGAACACACAGCGCACCCTTGTTATGAATGTATACTGCCAGATATACAGTCAGGATGACGGTGTGTTGTGCTCGGAGGACAGCAGTAGGCATACCACCCACACATAACTCACGCATTTTCTCGAGGCTCCCCTTCATGTTCCCAGAATCTCATGGAAGGTGCTGCTTGGGACTCGCAGCAAGGACCTTGCAGCTGAACTCGCAGAAGTACTTGCTCACAAAATTGAAAATTGATCGATACGTTTTTGTGAGTAATTCTTTGACGCGAGTCTCAAATACCATGGCTTCTTTCTTTTTTGGATCTAGATCGGGACATTGGACACCTCTTGTGGATCCCTGGACTCAGGATTACCAGCCGGTGCCCAGACTCTGGATCTCCAGACACCTCTATGAAGGGATATATGATTTCGTTTTTTGGGTGGTTGGCTGGGTAGAGAGTTTAGCAGGCCCAGTAGTACTTAGGAATGATGACGGCCCAGTAGGAAGGTTGGTGCTACCAGAGTGCTGAGTTCGCAAAGCAGCCTAACGATAGAGTAGTGTAGCATAGCATTTAGTAGAGATAGGAGGAAGAGGAGAAATGGAGGAATTCCTCTTACCTTGTGCTACACCTAGGGCATCAGCCACCGGTCATAGGCAGCCTTTGTATGCCGATCTGAGCACCCTTAAGCAGTGCCAAACAGTCGGCCATTCCAAGTTCAGAGTGCCTACAACACCCTTTGGGGGGGTGCTCAGTTCAGGATGTCTGTCTGCCCTACATGCGATGATGGATGTCCCGCTTGCTTTGCAGGTCGTTCTTGGCAAGCTGCTGTGTTCGCTATGTGGTTTGGCCGTCACAGGATCTCCGTGCTGGGGTGGGGTGAAGTGCTCATCTTGGGGCTTCACTTTCACCCCAGCCCACTAAGCCTTATGGTTAGGTGTTAGCCTGCCAAGCTGTTAATTGTGTCTTCGAGTCTTGTATTTGGATTACACGTGCTTTCGCGCAGTAACCACCGTAGAGGTTATACTACGGGCAGTGTGGCTGCGTAGGGGTGAGTGTGGTTGGGTACAGAGTGTCGTGGGATCTCCGTGCTGGGGTGGGGTGAAGTGCTCATCTTGGGCTTCACTTTCACCCCAGCCCACTTAGCCTTATGGTTAGGTGTTAGCCTGCCAAGCCATTGGTTGTGTGTTCGAGTCTTGTATTCGGATTACACCTTTGTGCAGTAACCGCCGTAGAGATTATACTACGGGCAGTGTGGCTGCGTAGGGGTGAGTGTGGTTGGGTACACCGTGTCACAGGATCTCTGTGCTGGGGTGGGGTGAAGTGCTCATCTTGGGGCTTCACTTTCACCCCAGCCCACTTAGCGTTATGGTTAGGTGTTAGCCTGCCAAGCCATTGGTTGTGTGTTCGAGTCTTGTATTCGGATTACATGTGCTGTTGGTGTTGCTTTGCGCTTGGCTGCTACGCCGCCTTGCCGTCCATCCCCAGGCGGTGCCTTCCTTGTCCTATACTGGCGCACCTTGTAGTTTGGTTGCCTTGTTGGTGTTTCCTTGTGCTTCACTGCATGGTTGCTGTGCTTCTCGTCCGCTCGCCCTGCCGCCCCTTGCTGTGTGGTTGCCTTGTTGGTGTTGCCTTGTGTTTCACTGCGTGGTTGCCGTACTATGTGTCCGCTTGCCATGTCGTTCCTTGCAGTCGTCTTTGGCATTGAGCAGCTGTGTTGCCTCTGCAGCATTGTCTGGTGCTTCACTGGGTTGCCGCCCGTTGTTGTGTTCCATTTGGGGACAGTCTGCCTTCCACAAGGGTCAAAGGGTTCATGACCCAAACCGTCAATAAGGAGATTCCCCAGATTGTTGAGGGTTCAGCCTCCTGATGAGTCGGTGCAACTCCGATGAAACAATCTATCATCAGCTTTTATTATTTTCAGTCTTTGTGACTTTTTTTATACTTTGTGTTTTTTTTCAGGTGCTGCTTTTGCCTTGTCGTTTTTTGGCTTGTGGCCGTTTCCCTCGCTGCCCCACCCAGTGTGCTTCGTTGCTTTGTGCTGTTTGCCTGCCCACCCTCCTCCCCCATGCCCTCCAGCCTATGCGCTTTGCTGCCTCGTGCTGTTTGCCTTGCTACGTGTTGATTGTCCTCCCACGCGCCTTCCCGATGCCCTCCATCCTATGTCTTTGTTGCATGATGCCCATGTCTTGCCTTGTGCCCTTCATCTGCCTCTTCCTTCGCTGCCTGCACTCCTTAGTTGTTTGTACTCCAACTGTTGAACAGCCGATGTTCAGTCCATTACAGATTTATGCGAGAATTGTTTTCAAGTTCTGTAGTGGATGGATCTCTCCCGGGTGGTCGCCGAGCGGAGTACACTTGTGTACAGGAGCTATCTCAAAGTGTGGTATACACACACACACACACACACACACACACGCACACACAACACGCACACAAACAAACAAACAACGCTGTGAACTTTGTCTTTCCTCAGTTCTATTCCTTGTCCCTCCACTTCCCTCCTCTTCCCCATCTCCCTCCTCCCTCCCCTTATGTAGAACTTCTCCTCCCCTTCCCCCTTTCCTTCCTCCCTCCCCTCGTGTAGCACTATAAGATGCACACGAATGAGCATAATTAAGAGAACAGACAAAATAAAAGGTGTATGATGTGCTGAAAAATGAACAGGGATATACGTCCCCCTTTACTCTGCCTCCCTTTCACAGCGTGCAAGTGGGCCGTTATGGCAGACAGGAATGTGGGCAGCTCATGCTCAACCACAATCAACGTGGAGAGCCTTGTACATGAGAGGCACGGTAAAAGGGAAGCTGCAAGAAGAAACAAAAGAGAAACCCAGAAAAAGCGGAAGCCAGGAAAGGGAAGAAAGGACTGCACAAGGAARAGGCAATGCCGCGGCTTTAGTGTGTGCTTAATGTGGTTTGCTATAGACATAAAGCTGCCACAATTTTGGATCTATTCATCTGGGTGGAAACGGTGTTGTTGTGGTGACAGTTTACAACGTACTCCTTCGTTTGTATGTATGTCTTCCTTCCTCCTTTTTTATTCTATGTATGTATCCATATCTTCCTTCTTGCTTTCTGTTCTAAGTACCTTCTGTGTGTCTAAGTGAGGAGTGCCAAACAATCTGTGGTTGCTTGTTTGGAGTGCCTGCAACACATTTGGGGGGATGATCTGTTTGGAATATCTTCAGGTCCATGTGCCATGGGTAATGAGGTTCCTCTAAGTGGCTTTCTAGCCCCAAGGTTGGTGGGAACCAACATTCTGTGGGGTCCTGTTTGTGGTGTGCAATGTGCATAGATTGATGGACTCCTTTTGGTTCATGCTGGGTGTGTGGACCGGTGGCTTGCTTGTCCGTGCCTCAGCTGGTCCAAGGAAGCCAGGTGGTCCTTTGGCCCATGCTGGATGTGTGGACTCCTTTGGTCCATGCTGGATGTGTGGACCACGGACAAGGAAGCCGCCGGTCCAAGAAAGCTACTTTGGTCCATGCTGATCCATTCTGGATGCATGGACTGCCTTGTCCGTGACTCCGCCGCCGTGCTACCCATCTGCTTCCGATATCTTTCCTTGGAGCTCATCTGGTTGCTGTGTAGTTTGGCTGCGTTGTCGGTGTTGCCTTGTGCTTTGCTGCATTGTTGCCGTGCTGCCCATCTGCGTGCCTGGCCTTCCCATGCAGTTTGCTTGTGTGCCATGTAATTTGGCTGCCTTGTGCTTCGCTGCATTGTTGCCTTGCTGCCCATCTGCGTGCCTTGTCTTTCCGTCTGCTTTGGTCGTGTGCCGTGTATTTGGCTGTGCATCGTCAGCGCTGCCTTGTGCTTCGCTGTGTTGTTGCCTTGCTGTCCATCTGTGWGCGTTGTCTTTCCGTCTACTTTGCTGTGTGCCATGTAGTTTGACTGCTTTGTCAGCGCTGCCTTGTGCTTCGCTGCATTGTTGCCTTTCTGCCCATCTGTGTGCCTTGCCTTTCTGTCTACTTTGCTTGTGTGCAGTGTAGTTTAGCTACTTTTTTTTGTCAGCATTGCCTTGTGCTTCGCTGTGTTGTTGCCTTGCTGCCCATCTGCTTGCACTATCTTTCCATGCAGTTTGCTTTTGTGCTGTGTAGGTTGGCTGCCCACTTAGTCTTTCCTGGTGCTTTGCTGAGTTTGTCTCGCCTGGTACTTCGCTGAGTCGTCGCTTTGCTGTCATATTCTGCTTGTGGTATCACATGCTGGCCGTCCACTTTCAACAGGGGTTGAATGAGTTCATGACCCAAAGCATCAATATGGGCATTCCGAAGATCGTCAGGCTTCAGCCTCCTTATGAGTCGGTACAAGTCCAATGAAACGGTGTGTCGCCATCCGTCCATTTGTTGTTGTTGTTGTTGATTGTATTTTGTTCTCACAACTTCTCAGTTCTGTATTTACTTTTCTTGTCCTTCATTCTTCCGTGCCTCATGGCCTTTGCATAATATAGTCTTGCATTCCTTCCATGGACATAAAGGCTGCAGGCTCCTTTCCGAGCTTCATTTTTTTAAAGCATACTGTCCGAGACAACATGCAGCAGTACAATCACGGAAGATTTACCGCCCCAAAACCACACACACACACACAGACACACACAC